TTCAACTGTGTGTTTCCCTTTGCCACTGTAATTTTATTATTTCATCACTTGTGACCTAACAACTATGCTACACAACCATTGCAGCATGCTGGTGAAGTCTATGGTGAGAAGTCCATCTTAGCTACTGAAGTTAAAGAGCTTCAATCTCGCCTGCTCGGCTTGGCAGATGAAAGGGACAAATCTCTCACAGTTCTTGATGAGGTGAGGGGATGTTGTAATCTTTGTTTGTAAAAGTGGGGAGCGGTATAAGAGACTCTGTAAGGAGAGTATCTTATACAGTCTTCTGTATCTTCTCCACACCTTGAATGTGAGACAGAAATTGCTGTATGCGAGTTTTTTTTACCTGTGACATCTTTTTTTCAATTTACTAATGTGTGTGCGCGTGTGTGTTTCAGAGTTTCATATTCTTTCTGTTTATTTTCTATTCCTAACACAATTTTGTTCCATTAATTTCATTAATACCTGGAATTGTCAAAGAGCTAATGAGCATGACTTGTGTCATACAAATATTGCATGTCAGTAGACTGTCACATTGTCTGCCTTTCATTAACTGTTTCTTTCCCTCGATATGACGGCGTACTAGAAGTCTTGGACTTGCTGAATTATTCTCAAACATGTACGACACTAGGACTGCAGACTGGCTCAAAAAGATTACCTATTAGATTGTTTGTGAGAAGGTGAGAGGACACAAGTTGAATATTGGAAAAAATTTAAGAAAGAAAAGCTTAACTAATGTGAACATTTGTGTTGTACCTCTAAGAGGAATAATAAAGGAAAATCTTCATGGTCAAACAAGTGCATTCAACATGATATGGCACCTTTGAAAGGGTATTTTGCCTTCATTAGTGAGGTGGGCAGAGTTCCTTTATTCTTTATTCTTGAATTTTATTTTTTTTTTCGTATTGCTGGTTTAGTGAGGTGGGCAGTATTCTAGCTGCTAAATCACAGATGCTTTGTTTGTACTTATGGTTTAGAAGAAAAGGGTGGATGTAAATAGTAGTATGATATTCTTCTTATACCTGATCATCTAAAGTACCCTTTGAGTAGATGCGTCAGACACTTGAGGTGCGAATGGCTGCTGCTGCGAAAGAAATGAAAGCTGCTGAGCAAGAAAGAGTAGGCAAGAAAGAGGTTGCACGTAAAGCGCTTGCTGATCAGGAAATCATTATGGAAAAAGTTGTGCAAGAGGCAAATGTTCTGAAGCAAGAAGCAGAAGAAAATGCTAAGGTAATAGCCCTCGCTATTTAAATGGATTATATATGCATAGTAAAATGTAATTGTAGTCTTATGATTTTATCTTCTTGTTCTTCTGTTGCACAGTTGAGGGATTTCCTGGTGGATCGGGGGCGTGTTGTTGATACGTTGCAGTAAGTATAACTTATTAGGTCTCTTTAAAAATTTGATATTTGTGCTCTCCGAATGTGGGTTATTTGCTTGGAAAAATGGAACTTTACTTGGTTGGGATGCCAAGGTAAAATCAGCATTCTGATTCAAGCTTGTGTTTGCTTAAATTTAATAAATGCAACTGCAAATTGTAGTTACATAGTATCCGGGGAGGGGGGGGGGGGGGGGGAGCTCCTTATTCAGTGTGTTTTTGTGTTATGATCTGTTTTCGCAGGTTTACCCTGTCCATCATACAATATCCTCATATTTTTCTTTCTTTGGTTTAAAATTCCTTTGAGCAAAACCATTGTATTTTACTACTATTAATCAGAGGTGGAGGTAGAATCGCAATTTTTATTTTTTTGACTCTCAGATACGTCTGTGCCGAAGGTAGGGAGGGGGGAGGTCTCTCTACATCCTACCCTCCAGACACCACTTGTGGGACTACACTGGGTATGTTGTTGTAGATGATTCTGTGCCATGGCTGTTGCATCTGTCCTTTCCCTGCATATTCCTTGTTTCTCCCTCAACTGTTATTTAAGACCAGAGAGGCCCATGTAGTTGATGTCTGTCGTCTCTTTTGAGAGCTTCTTTTTGCCCCTCATTAAGTCACTTTTTTTCACATTATTTCTCCTGTAGTTTTAGTAAATCTTGACAACTTTGAAGGCTCTTGCTTCCAATCCCCTCTTACCATAGCATATTAGTTCTTACCATATGTTGTGTCAAGTTCCTATCCTACATGCTGCTCTCCATATTCTCTCTCCCTTTTTTTTTTCAGACCGTGATACTTTTCCTTCTCTGTTGAGCTCATGTGTGCTTATAAAAAGCCTTAATAATTTTGAGGCTTATTTTTAAGATCTTTCTACTTTAATGATGCCTTGTAAAACTAATGGATTTATTTGTCCAAAATAACTTAATGGATATTGAAAATTTGAAGTTATTGAGAATTTTCTTGGGTTGATTAGTTTATCATTGAGGAGGAAAACATGAACCTTTGCTAATAGAGGTGAAAAGAGATTTACTTCCTTGAACTCTTGAATGAGTTTAGATAACTATAAAGTGACTTCAGTGCATGTCCTATTTTCTTTTTTTTTTTCCTTTTAGAATTTTCATCAAATATTATTTTTCTTGGGAAAGATGTTAGTACAATGGTTTTTGGTATACATTAACCTAGAGTGATCATATGTTTCAAGAATATTAATGTATTAGCATATTTTGGGAAAAAGAAGAAAAAATAGCATTTAGGTATATCTATGAAGAATCAACGAATTTAGTGGTTCCTTGAATTTCGGATGTACTAAGCTTATATTCACCAAATTTGACTAGCATAAAGCCATAAACTGTTTTCATATGAAGTACGAGTGGGGTCATAGCCAATTTGAAATTATATTTCATACTTCAATATCTCTGTAGTTTAATGAACATCGTGTCATTGTGTCCCTTTGAAATCTGAATATTCTTATTCTCTGTCAGATTTGCTACATTAAAATTATTTTTTCTAAAAAATATACAATAAACTTTACTAATGACAAAGGCTTATTTAATGATATCCTGTTAACATGCCACCATTTTATTCAAGCAGTGTTTAAATAGAACATGACATTTGATCAAAGTTATTACTTTTTAATCTTGAGAGCACGGGCTTTCCACAATTTGTATTGTCAGACAAGACTAAGTTATAGAACACAAATTGGGAAGGTCTGCATTACTTTTCTAATCATGCTGGCAATTGTTTTCAGTTTTTCCCCTCCTCCCAGATTCTTGTGCCACTATTTTGCTCTATTTGTTAGTCATTTAAAATACTCAATAGATTGTTGCACCCTTTTGCAGAGGCGAAATCTCTGTCATATGCCAAGATGTGAGGTTGTTGAAAGAGAAATTTGATGATCGTGTTCCTCTTTGCAAATCTTTAAGTTCCGGGCAGACCAGCTGTATCTTAGCCTCATCAAGTTCATCTTCGAAGAGTATGATGTCAGATGAGGTTGCTGAGCCTGCAGATTTGTTGCATGCTCCAGAAAAGATGGATAGAGTGTCTTGTCATGAGGAGGAGCACAAGGCATCTGAAGATGTTAAGTCAGTGATCCATAACACGGATCTTGTGGATGATGGATGGGAAATCTTTGACAACCGCGAGCTATACATGTGAATCAAGTGGGTGTAGAGAAAAATCATTGACTGGTTGCTTTAGTTCGAAGATATGTCTCATCTTTTAAATAAGTTTCTTGGTAGAAACAAACATGTTTAGAATTCCAGTTTGTTATGCTCATTTTGCAATGTTAATTGAGAGCTATTTCAAAGTAGTAGAATCCTATCCTGGTATAGAAGTATTTGTACAGAACAAGTATATAAATAGCAGCTTATCATCTATAGTATAGAGAAGTGCAATCATGTACTGGTCCTAAATTATACTTGTAACCCCCCTCCCCTGACCCCTTTCCCCACCACTACTGAACTTAATTTCTTTCATTGCATTACTATTTACGTGATAAAGGAAATATCAAGTATATGCAAACACATGATAACCTAAAAAAGGGATTTTAATATCTTTTTCATTTGATTCTCTCGAACACAAACAATTACCCTCATCTGCTCTCAAATCCTTCGTTCATTGTTACGGTCTCCATTTCTATTATTCTTTTCTAAGTCACTTGATCAAATGGTCGCTCTTCATATCCCTTTTGTGTTCTCTAGATTTGTTCTTTATTTGCTATTCTAATTTGGTCTAAACAGAGAAAGAAGGAAGATGAGTAGGGATGGCAATAGACCGGGTGGTTGCCGTTGTGATTTCAACCACACCACCCCATATCATGATTTGTTGTTTTCAACCCAATCTGCTCCGCCTCCATCCATCCCATCCCACATAATTTGTAAAAGAACATTTCAAATAATAGGTGCATAAGTTTTTAACTTAAAATTTTTAATTTTCTTTTAGAGTAACTGTTAACTACTAAATTAACATATTAGCCTAGCATTTAAATGCAATTTTATAATACTCTTCTTTTACGCACGTCAATAACATTATTTTTGATAGCTTTGAATTAGTTACATTTCATATAATTTTAAAAAAAAAATCAAAATTCAAATAGTGACATAATTTTTTCTTCTTTCTAGTTTTTTTGGCGATTCAATTTTTTTTTTCTCATAAATCAGTTTCAATTTTACTTGAAACTCATCATATGACTAGTGAGTGGTACCCAAACATGTGCAAAACTGATACAGAATTTGTGTGAACAGCGAATTAAAAGATTCTTTATCCCTAATCCGCAATCAACCCCAGTAAATTTTGAAAAAAAATATATTTATACCCGCCCCGCTCTGCACCAGCAAAAGCTCACCCTACATAGACTGTAAACCACCCCACGCCATGCCATCCCATATTCATTTTCTTAAATCAAATTGCAAAAAGAAGAATAATGGTCCATAATTATGGTCTATTTCCACATAAAAAAAAAACATAAAACACCTTGTCAATTAGTAATAAGAAAAGTGTCCTTGAGTATTATTCACTCATAAACTCTTTGTATACATTGTACATGTAATTTAACTCTACTCCTACACAAAAGTTAAGGCTATAATCACAATCCTTCAGAAACAAAACCTATACAATCGATCCATCGTTCATCACAAAACTTAACTAGAAATTAAGCCTATGACAACGATTATTATAATTAATCGTGCCAACATAGAAGCAAGACAGTACATCTCCAAATAATGTAAAGTCTCGCCCTTTGTTGTCTAACTTGCTTCGAACATCCTTGCCATTTCCTCATTTTCGAACTCCTTAATGATGACATTGAACTTGCAAGAGTAGCCATATATAGAAAACTCAAAATATTTTGAAGAAATTATAGTGTTTGATTTTGATGAGTAATGTTTAAAAGACTTGGAACATATATATAAAGAGTATAAGATATGTGAAAGGAAAATATGTGGTGAATAAAGGTTTTAAGAGGGTACATAAAAGGGACATGTTATGAAGTTTGTGTCAATAGATAAATTGGGGGCCATTTATGTCTTGTCTTTGTATTGTATGGATACCCTACATTAACGTATCTATCATACAGGTTTGCTGTATCACTAAATTATATAAATGTGAAATCATTTTCTTGTAGCCCCATCATCTATTGTTCATGGTGTTACAAAATAAATAGTGTACTTGTACAAGTGTATTTAATGTGAAAATGGACAGAGCAATAAGAGACCAAAGGACAAAATTAATAACATTGCATGGCTTCAAATTTTTTTTTAAAAAAGATACCAATAGTTTTGGAGATTTATATGTGGTGGTAAAACTTAGCATGACTTAGTCAACATGTGCTAATTAAGCAACGAAAAAAGGTAAAAAAAAAAATGTACTCTTAACGTATTATAAATGGTTTTAAGATGCTCTCCTTTCACCTATTAGATTAAAAATGTCTTCAACGTTTTTTTTAGGTCTAATAAGATGTAATTTGAGACTAATAAGATGAAACCACTTATTTCATTAAATGATTCATTTGTTGTGATGTCATTGTGATGTTAAAAAAAGACATTATTAGACCTATAAAAACATTGAAAGCATTTTTAATCTAATAGGTAGAAAGAGAATATATATTATATTTTAAAATTATTTATAATACGTTTTGAGCATTGTTAACCCTTTTCGATTAAACGATGACTCATAGTTCAATTTCCTCAACTTCAATGACCTATCATTTTTACAGTTCTACTATGTTAAATGAATTTTGTGTGTTCAATATGTTACTGAATTCACTAATTATTTGAGTTACTAAAGTTGAAATTTAATACTTATATATATATATTTTTTAATATTTATACGAGCATTAAATTAAAATTATTGAGTTTGACCAAATCTATAGAAAATACTAATTAGCTACGCTTTTCTCTACTTTTTGTAGCGATACTAGTTTGAAAGCTCACTAGCGTAAAGATCATTACTCATTAGTAACATCTTTATGACTTTCATTCTTTCTTTACTTGCCAGGCGTTTGGTTATAAATTTTATTTTATTTAAAAAAAAATTGAAATTTATAAAGCTGGAGTAAAAAGATAGATTGTTGTGTTTGGTTATAATTTTGTTTGCAAAATGATAGAAGAGATTAATTTATTTAAAATTTATAAAGATGAAATTGGAAACACATTTAAAGTACTTTTTTCAAATCTTATGACCTAACACTTATTTTGAAATAAAATGATTTTTTATTTTTTTAAAAAGTGAATAATTTTCTAAAAAACTCCATAATTGTCTAATTATTTTTCCACTTAATACTTCTACTATACAATTGTGTGGTCGTGCCACGTTAATATACAAAATTATTGTCTTCATAACCTACGACATCAAAATCACATACGCACTACACAATACTAGTAGTCTAGTACTAGCTTGGTTATGTACCAAAAAGTCTAACATTTTCTTGGTAAAAAAATGTGAATAATATTAATATTAAGAATATGAGACACAACCAACCAACTTGAACTATATTATATACATACATACAACTCTTTCTTTGTATAAATTCAACTCTATAGTAGACGAATGTTTGACATAATACCAACCATGAGATTCTAGTGTTTTCCAAGTGCCTCTTTAATTATATATCAAAGAAGAAGGAAGAGGGGCCAGGTCAAAGATATGATACTCTTCTCAAGTACATTAATTAGTTCAAATTCAAAAATATGTGATATCACGTGCACTCTGTCTCTTTAGGTAATAGTAGTAATGTGTACCATCAACGGAATAGTACAATAGATAAGACTGTTCATCATTTAATCAGATGTTTCAGGTTTGAGTTTTGAATATGAAAAAATTCTTGATAGGAAGCGTTTTCCCCCTGAATGGAACCATATACAATACAAATTTAAAATAGTCAGACTCTAATATACGTATATCAAATACCAAATGAAAAACTATTGTGTAGTGTGTGTGACCATATAACAACTTATATTTCATGTGACAAAAACAACATAAAAGGGATGTATAGTCAATTATCAGTTGCCGGCCACTTGTGATCATTGCCGCCCGAGAGGCAAACCAGTTCAATGTCTTTTCAATCAACACTTTGAAATTTATAGTAAGATAATATTCTTCAATTCAATTATTCAGAGTATAGAGTCAAATTTAGGGGTCAGTTGGTTCAGTTTCATTTTATAGATTATCGAATTTTGATTTTTAAATATGCTAAATCAATAACTGATTTAATAAGATATTTTTATCGGTTTTCAGTTTTTGGTTTATCGATTATTTCGATTTAATCAATAAGAAAATGCTTATAAAATACTCCCTCCATCCATTTTTAGTTGTCATATTGTGTTTCAAAAGTCAATTTGACTATTTTTTAAAGTTAAATTAGATTACATTATTAAATCAATATTTTAAACAAAAAAATAAATATTCAAAAACTATACAAAAAGTACTATAAATTATATTTTTTGCATATCAATATGATGAAAAAAATACATTATAAAATGTTATTCAAAATTCTTATCGTTTGACTCTAAGAAAAGAAATCATAACAACTAAAAGTGGACAGAGGGTGTAATTGTATGACTTCTCCAACAATTTGGTGTGACAAGACAATAATGTAATTTACAGAATGCACAGAAACTAGAAACAATAGTAGTTAACATGAAAACAACTATACAGTGCAACACAATAAAAGAATTACGACAATAATGTGAATTGAAGGTTAAAGGGCAAATGTAGTAACAAATAAGGTATTAATATTAATATTTAATATTTATGTAGGGGTAAAATAGTAAATTACTATTGTCTTGATGAGTTATCAATTTACCCAATAACATAATATTAAAAAATCAATATCGAACCAATAATCCAATATATTTTTTATAAAACTATAACAAAACTCAATATTTTTTCGGTTCGATTTATCGATCGATTCGACTTTTGCAAACTTCGTGTCAAACCTCTCTATAATAATCATCTGATATTTTATACTAATATTTCATTACAATAGTCTAATTTTCTTTGAAAATGATTTTTGTATTATGTTATATTATATATTTTCTATAACAATATCTCATTATAATTTGAATTTTTTAAAAAAAATTTCGAGACAAACATTTTTATAAATAGATTTGACTATAAATTTCCATCATCCTTTGCCAAGGACATAGTTCACATTTTCTTCACCCAAGTTGACTTGGACCCTTGATTTTAATTTTTTAACTATTGGGTTTCTTTTTAATTTGTATTGTGATTCTATGAATTTAATGTATATCGAAAAGTACTCTTATATTAAAGATAAAGCGCTCTCTAGCAAAGATGATATTCAGGCTTGAATCAAAATGTAATATCCCAGAAAAAAATTTCGAACTAAGACTCGAACCATCCTTCGTTGTGAGTAGGCTTTTACCGAGAAATTAAAACTTCTTAAGTGTTAAGGTCACTAGATGTAGCGTCTTGAGTTCCAAAAAGAATTAAATTGGAAATAGCAAAATCTGAAATTTTGCAAGTTAAGCTAAGTATGAGTTTTGGGTCGACTTCAAATGATCATAACTCCTAGCTCAAGATGAGTTAGGTGTTCTACCAGATACCGTAGGAAAGATCTTTGAATTATCTTTCCAACGCCGCTGAGTTTGCTAAGTTTCGAGGTCGGATAAGTGAGATATGGCCTTTTGAAGTTAGGCTGTCAAGTTAAGGAAAGTTAGCCGAAAATAGTGAGGGGTATTTTGGCCTTTTCCTTACCCAATCAGATTTAATTCGTTTTTAGTAATATTTTAGGGTCTAATCCTATTCGGTTCAGTTTTATAATTCTAAAATTAGCCTAGGGTTTTAGTTGAGAGAAAAGAAGAGAAAAAAGGAGAAAAGAGGAGAGGATCAAGCGTCCGTCGAGATCCTTGAGTGTTGTAGCGGATTTTCGCCATGGGTTTGATCCCTAAGAGGTATGTGAGATCACATAGCATTGGGTTAGTTCACCCACGTGCCAAGCATGCTTAATTCAGCGTATTTTCGTCCTAAAAAGATTGAGAAATTGATGTTCTTGATAGTTGTTCTTGATTTGATTTCGTTCTTGAATATGAGTTGGGATTAAGGAGTTTCTTGTTGATTAAGTGTTGTTTCCTTGAGTTGTTTGGGTTAGATTTTGTGTATATGATTTGAGTAGATGAATCTAAAGTGAATTTGAGAAAAAGAATCAGATTAAAACGATTTAGGATCAGAAAACGAGAGGAAAAAGGTTCGTCAGTTTTGCCTGGGGCAATGCTGGCACGACGCGCCCCCGTTGCGCCAGGAAGGCTAGGGCGACGCCCCAGCAGTGCGCCAGATTTGAGCCCCAGTAAGTTGGGGTAGGCGCGGCACACCCGGGATGCGCCCAAATCGTCTTTTTTTCACCAGTTTTCGTCGTTTAGCCTATTTAAGTCCTTCTAAAGTGTATTAACACTTCCTATTGATTGTAACTACTCTAAATGACTTCTAAACATCTAGAAATCATCCAAAAACATGAATCATAACCTTGAATCCATAAATTCAAATTCAAGGAAAGTTAAGAGCCAAGTTTAGGAAGTTTTTTGAGTCTTTTCAAGAAGTCTTTTGCAGATGCTTTTAACTTTGTTTGAAGACTTACAGTTCATGTTGAGTAAAGAGTAAAGAGTAAAGATTGAAGTTCATTTCTTCAAAAAGTATATGGGGACTAAGTATTCCCAAAAAGATTTTAAATGTTTTCACATTTAAATAAGAACGGAAACTGAGATTTTCAAAGAGCCTTCGGGCTAGTTTTCAGAAAAGAGAAATAGCTTTCTAAATGAAACAAGCAGGGAAACTGAGATTTCCGAGATGACCTTTGAACTAAGTTTTTGAGCACTAATCTCAAATCA